TGTCGACTGATGGTCTTACTTATTTATGACTTGGTGTAAGAAAAATGGCGGGAATAGATGAATAAATTGTACGATAGCACTCAAACTTAACTTTAACACCTTATGTATAGGTCTAAAGCAGTCTTTCCCAAAGTGGGCGATAACGCCCCCTTGTGGACGCTGCAAGCTTAAAGGGGGGCGGTAAGAGACCCAGAAAAAAAATCGGGACGTTGCGTAGAGGCTTGGGAGGCGTCATCTACTAGGAGGACTCTTAGACACCGACTGAGCTCGACTCTTGACTACAAAAATGGGGGGCGCTAAAAAATAATTTATTCTCAAAGTGGGCAGTAGACTAAATAATTTTGGGAACCACTGGTCTAAGGCTTAACTCAATCAGTGTCTGGGGTATGGAAGCGGCTAGGGTGTTTTTGTGGATGTCAAACGTCTGCGAGATTTTAGATTTGTATTCTCTGTCACGTCATAATATTATGTCAATGCTACTCCTCCCATGCCGTTCCCATACCTCAGGCATTGTCCAATGAGGGCTATCGTTTTTATACTTAACTAGCTGACCCGGCGAACTTTATTCCGCCTTAATGGCAATAAATAGGCAGCCTTTTTATTTATTCCGAACGGGATAAAAAGTATCCTATGTCCTTCTCCTGGCTCTAAACTACCTCCCTGACAATTTTCAGCTAAATCAGTTCAGCCGTTCTTGAGTTATAAGTGGAGTAACTAACACGACTTTCTTTTATATATATAGAAGACAGTTGGCACCCCTGGCGATTGACAGGACCTTACTCTACAGTGGCGCCATCTTGATGAGTGCAAATACGATAGTCCTCCTACCACTTTCGCGCTCACCAGTTGGTGCCACTGTCTTCGCTACTAGCAAGTGACAGGACCTTACTCTACAGTGGCACCAACTGGTGAGCGCTAAAACGATAGCCCTCATTAAGCACTAGACCTATAGTAAGGGTTATCGTTTTGGCACCATGGTGGCGCCACTGTAGAGGTCATGTCAATCGCCAGTGTTGCTAACTGTTAGTATAAAATCGATAGGTCTCATTGTAAGATGCTTATTTGTAACGAAAATGTATTTTGTTGTGCTATCGACTGAACATAGACTTTTATTGGCCATAGATTTCGCATCGCTCCAAAAAACCGCGCGCAAAATGATCTATGAAGCACTTATTCCGCAGATTATGTATCGCCTTGTCTATGGCTTGTATATAGATGTTTTTTTACTGTTTTATTGTATAGTTACCGATATATACCTGTGTTGATGTTGATATAATTTTGTACAAATGATTTATTAGTTAACATGGTATCTCAGTAATCATAGATACAGTGACGTATATAGTTTAATATTAATGCCTTCCGTAAAATAAATATTCTTTACTTTTAAATATTACGTGCCTTTTTATTTTGATTGAATAAAAAAATACTTATTTTGTTCTTTACCTACCTTATTGTCACCATGGTTGACTGGAAGATATCTGTTTAGAGAGATAAGCACAAGTTGGCTGAGTTACACTTGCACCACCTTACTTTTACCGTAACTAGGTTTAGGTATCGTTTCATCCAGGAAGACGCGCCCCACCACTTTTTGATCGAGGAAAGCGCGAAAAGCAAAGCCGAAACATTTTCCTCTGGTAAATTCAAAAGTAAATCGGGCTTTAGTCGAACGACCTAGATAGCCTATAGCCGGATTTATTTGTCTGACGTGTTGTGACGTGACGCATCAGAACAGTGTCGGTTACATTCACGAAATGACGTGTCGCGCATATGTATAAAACCGATTCTGATCTGATGCGTCACGAGACAACACATTAGACAAAATAAATATAAATCCCGGATTAAAACGATATGGTGCAAGTACACTGTGCGGAAAATTGACCATTTGTCCAAGTCGAAGCGCTAACCCGCACACCGAAGTGTGAATGACGCACGGGTGGAAGGAGAAAGTAACCGAGATGGTGTTCACACTATTGCGTCTTGGCCAATTTCAGTGTACACTGTACTTGCCCCGATATGGAAATGAAACCAATTGTCTCCCAGTATAGAGGTTTATTCCAAGTCACTTCTTCGTCATGGCGTCCTTGAAGGCGCTGGCGCCCGCTTGCAGCGCGCTCAGCAGTTTGGGCCCCTGCTCCGCCAGTGTCTTCGTGAAGTCTTCTACATTCTTTTTCTGGAAATACCGACTTTTATGAGTGATTTTTAAAACCACGTAAATAATAATTTGTCTCAAAATATAGGCAGTCAGTCCGATGTCGACACCCTTAGTGAGAAGCGAAGCTACGATTGCCGAACGGTGAAGGGGTCGGACTGGCCGACTCGTGATCCGGAGAACGCGGGTTCGATCCCCGCCGCTGCTCGACTATTGTGGTGAGCTCACTCGTGATACAAGCATATTTAGCTTAGTACGAGGGGCTAACTGGAGTTATTAAACAAATTACTAATAATCTTTAAAAAAAAACCACACAGTGCGGTGCGGTGAAGACTTGATTAGAGTGTCAGGCAGTGCTACAGAGAAATATGCGAAAATCAGGCCTCCTGAACCTAGCGTGGGGAGTGTAGGCCAATCCTTCCTTTTGCCTCTGGTAACTATTAGCAAAGTTCGTCATTCTACAATGGAGACCTCAGATCATAGAAGGGAAATGGAGACTAAGGTATTTGACCTGTTCTCCTGTAGTGGAGGGAGACTACATGAGCTGATGATTATGCAATATCTTACTTGTTCATCAGCTATTTTCCCAACAGCCTCCTTAAACTTGTCCAGCTCGACCGCTTGTTTGTTCGCGCAGTCCGTGAACAGTGCGCGTGCCTTCTCCTCTGCTGCTTTCGCGTCTTCAATGATCTTCGCTAAAAGCATTGCTAGGTTATGGTTAGAATTTGTTATGTTTAGTGGCCAAGAGATGGCGCTGCTTTTAAATTAGATTGCGGTGGTGTAAAGTGGTGGATAAGTGTTGCAAAAGTTTGTAAAGAAAAACAAATTTTTAATGAAATAACTAAGTTATTTAGAGTTAGAAATTATTTGCCTCCCTAACTCGTATGCCAGCGTGAAGAGTGTAGATTTCCATTTGCTGCCTCTATTGGCCCCCCACCTACGTGGCTAGCGCGGCAGCGAGGAGAGTGTGGACCACCATTTGTTTCTAGTAAATTGGAGACGTGAGACGTATGCTGATGAGATATGATGATGATGGGGTTATTTCAAAAGTGCTTACAGTCCTTCAACCATTTTATGAGACTCTCAACGTCAGTTTTTCCTTCTTTCTTTAGTTTTTCGAATGCCTCATCCATTGTGTTTTAATTTTACCAAAAACTTGTTTAATTTGTTTTATTTACATAAAAATGTCAATAGACATGACAAAAGGCCAAAGTGATTACGTGATTTTTTTAATAATATCTTTTTAATCTGTTTCTTTTAAGAAGGAGGTTGCAACAGTCACAAACTGTGCAACATAACAACAAACGCCTGACAATGAAACGAGCAAAAATATTTTTACTCAACATTGCTATGGCAATATGTTCAGGCGCTACAAAGTATTCTTGGAGATATTTTTATTTTCAAACCCTATATTGAAGTTTTAAAAGTTTCATGGCCAGCAACGGCGCGCGGCGGGCCGATTCAATGATTCCACGCACCCTGGGACACCTACTTTATGGCGGACAGCCTTTATTTAACGCGACACCTGACACCACATGTGGTGACGATTATTAGATGACAGGACTTATTCCACGATAGATAGTTTATAAAACTAGACTTATAATCTTCTCGAGTTTTAATAAAATAAAACAAAGTCAAAATTTCAATCAATCTAAAGTTTATTTCTTCAAAGCCTCCATGAAAGCGTCCGCGCCTGCCTTCAGCTTGTTGAGCATCTGGGGCCCCTGCTCCGCCAGTGTCTTAACCAGATCTTCCACGCTCTTTCTCTGAAAACCAAATTAAGTTTGAATTCGTAAAGCTTTAACAAAGTTGCAACAGTAAAGGCACGAAAATTAGGTTGCAGTATACTGGAAAACGAAACGTAATGTACCGTGTGTCGGCCCTAAGGACGTGAGAAACGTCTAAGTAGACGCGGCGCGGACAGCTCAGGACTAAGTAGTTGCTATGGAAATCCTTGGAAGAAGCCTTTGTCCAGTGGACGTCCACTAGCTGGAACGACCGAACGAGTCCCTATGGGCATTGAAACCGCATACCTGCTGCACAGCCAGCTTTTCCAAAGCCTGCTTGAACTTGGACAGCTCCACGCTTTGCTTGTTGGCGGCGTCGTCGAACAGGCGCCGCGCCTTCTCCTCCGCTTCCTTCGTGTTGTCTATGATCTTCGCTGAAAACCCAAAGACTTGTAGTAATAGTAAGTAGGTAGGTAGTTTCATGCTTTTGCTTTCAAGCGCAGCGTGGAACGTCCACCCACAAGGTGGACAGACCTCCTAAAGGTAGCAGGAAAGCGCTCTGGAAGTCATTAAGGGACCTGACCAGCCGGTGGCTGAAGCGACGAAGTATGAGAGCTGAGAATGATGTATGGGGCTAAAGTAGAGGCCTACTTATAAATACAGGGGGCAGCTTTACCACTCCTCGGTACCGCCCACGTATTCGATAACAAACTTACAATCTTTCATCCATTGAACCAGATGTTCGACATCGTTTTTGCCCTGTTTTTTCAGCTTTTCAAATTCCTCTTCCATGTTGATTTTTTTAAATTTTAGCCTGAGATTTTAGCAATCCTTTTTCATCTCACATTGCAAATTTTAGTTTTTTGACGCTGGTTTGACGTATTCTATCACGTGAAAGAGGTTTTCAGTCTTTGAGGTCGAAAAATAAATTTTCGAAGAACCGCGGTCATTGTGGAAATCTTTCATGATCACTCATCACCCACTGTGCATAGGAAACGAAACGTAACCGAATACAACGATTTCAATGAACGTGGAGAAAACTGGTACTACAAAATTAAGGCTTGAATTTGACAGATTTGCGTGGAAGTGGCGCCCCCAGCAAGGTAGTTGCTGAGCCCGACCGACCGTGGTCGACGATGGCGTCGTCAGTCTACGTCTGACGGCCAATTTGGTGTTCATTTTGAGGTTAAATTTTGTAATTTTTATAATCAAAATGGTTAGTGAAATAGACGAACGACGTGTGGTTAAAGAACTAATTGAATTGTATCGTAATCTACCATGCTTGTGGGACATGAGGTCTGAGGATTACAGATTTGTCAAGAAAAAAAACTTGGCATGGGGAATGTTACTTGAAAAACTTAAGGAAATTGATCCTGATGCCAATATTTATTCAGTTAAACGCAAGATTGACAATTTGAGAAATGGTTACAAAAGGGAGCTGAAGAAGGTAAAGTTTTTTTTAAGTTTTTTATTGTCCTAGAAAAACGAATTCGATATCGTATGTCTCACTCATTAGCATGGGAAGTGAAAAGGATAGGCGTAGATGACAGGTCATGTCTTCAGCTTGAATAGATGTCATGAGGTGGCCCCCAAGGTCAAATCAAGAATATGACCTTTGAAAACTTAACCTCCAAAGTCCAATATTTTTGGCGGGAATTTACGAAAATTCAACCCGACCATTTGACGATTGTTAATTAATAACGTGATTGTTAAATTATGATTATGTGAAATTATGAACACTTGTTGTTAATTATACTTATTTCTGTTGTATTTTGCTTACAATGTTCAGTTGGAAGCTAATGTAAGTAACAGAGTTAATTTTATTTAAAAACTGAATTAAAGTTTTATTATTTTCATAACAAGCAAAATTAGTTTATAACATTGTAAGTATTTATCTAAAAAACTGTCTAAAATATTGTTAGGACAAAATAATATTTTGGTTAGTAAAAATTACTAACTTCTATTTTTAGAACACAAGTGTGTCATTGGTTAATGTTGGCCATCCACTATTTTAATCATTCCATAAACTTTTTACTTAATATTATTATTCAATTACATGTTTTTGTATCAAAACCACGATTTAAATGCTATTTACTACTTTTCCGTTATTTCCAGGTAAGAAAATCACTTCAACAGAGCAAATCGGAAGAGGATGTTCACGAACCAAGCCTCTGGTATTTCAAGCTGCTGGATTTCCTGAGCGATAGAAAATATGAGATCTCTGAAGACTCCCAGTCGGACGATGTGTACATGGTGATCGTTGATGATGTGAGTATAATACCTATGACATTTTAAAACGCCCCACAGACCATAGACTTTTAAGTACCTATGACATTTTAAAATGCCCCACAGACTTTTAGTCGGCTGATAGTTGGGTCGGGCTGTTAATCAGTATGAATGAACATGTAATAATTTGGTTTCGACCGACTCCTCATACAAATTGAAAGCTGACGAAACTATAGGCCGACTAAAAACCTGTACTCACGCTTAGGCAATCATTTTTCTCTTCGAAACCATACGGGAAACTTATGGTTTAGGAATTTAAAAGCAAGTATAAAATGATTTTTCACACATAATTTTTCGTAACATATTATTAGACACCATTTAATTTTAATGTTTATTTTTTCAGAAATACCAGTCTTCCTCTCAAGTGAAGCACTCACAAGAAAACGAATTGGAAAAGCAGAAACAGTATTACACAGAGGAATTGAAACGATCGCTGCAAAAGGGTGACCTAACGATCAGAGAGACCCGTAGTCTGGACACAAACCCATTCGCAGTATACGTTGGAAAGCAGTTAGATGAAATGACCCCGTTCCAAAGGAAGGTAGCGGAGAAAGTGATATCAGAGGTGCTGTTCTTAGGCAAAACTGAGAGTCTTAACTTCGATTCCAAGGTGGTGACTCCTACAGAAACACCTAGACCGGAACCATGGGTCTCACCGAACAAAACTAGTGAAATAAAACAAAATCCACCAATATCTAAATTAGACATACTAAATTCAGCTACTAAAAGGAAAATATCAAGGGAACCAATTGTAAAAAAGAAGGCCAAAAGAAAAATTTCAACGGAAACTAAAAAAGGCAAACCTGAAACAGCTTTCATAGATATCCAGCTGAGTCCGGAGAGCTCACAGTGCTCATCGCAAAAGACATTAGTAAATCCGTTANATCCGTTGTCAACGGATGGCTCCTCGGAAGAATCTGATCAAGAGGAAGCGTTTGAAGTTGATGATGAAGAAACTAGTAAATATGATGATGATGATTCGAATGATGATTCGATTTTGAAAACACTGTTGAAATCTAAATGACAACTAATGAAAAAGGGGAAAACTCCAAAAAAGCACTACCTTCTACGAAAAGAAGTAAGATTGTTAACAAAAAATCGAATAAATCGATGGTTTTGAGAAAAACAAAATTGCATTCGTGAAAATTCGTGATACTTATTTTAATGTGTCTTTGTCTAAGTACTACACACTGTTTATTCATATAACAGTCAATGATACTCTCAATAGTCGTGTATCAATTTTAATTCGTTAAATCGATAAATTCACTCATCGTGTCGATTATTACATTTTTCGTTTGACTTTGGTAAGTCACGATGAGGTATTAATTAAAACCCTCCATATAATAGACTAATCATGTGGAGTATTGTGGAGACTTACTACTCAGTGGCGGATTTTAGCCTCTAAGTACGTCATTTTACTATTTCACGTGCAACAACGTAGGACGTCCACCCACAAGGTGGACCGACGACCTCATAAAGGTAGCAGGAAGGCGCTGGATGCAGGCCGCCACCAATCGGCCATTGTGGAAATCATTAGAGGAGGCCTATGTTCAGCAGTGGACGTCCTATGGCTGAAATGATGATGATGATGATGACGTGCAACAAAGATTCAATAAATGAGCCTGGTAAATGTATCAGGGATAGAAATTGTGATAATGTAAGGTATTTTTTTGTCATTTGATGGTGGATAGGTACTTATGTATAAACTTTTTATAAGCCAAAAAGGTATTTTATTAGGGTAATAAATAAGCTTTAATTTAATCGTAATTATAATTTAAGTCTTGATAGGACATCGTGACAAATAAAGCTATTTTGCTTGTACCTATTTGGTTTTATTTATCAGTTTTCGGAAATAAAAGTTTGTCTAACGATACGATTTTTCCCAAAGTCCACCAGTGGGGGACAACGGGAATACACTTATTATCCGTTATGTTGTCAGACTTATGTAAGAATGGTGCAAAAAGATATCTTTATTTAGTGGAAGTAGAAGGAAAAGGGGACCTCTAATTATTAGAAATGATAAGAAAATTATTTACAATGATTATTTTATATTTATTTACACCTTGACTAGAGGAATTATACAAAAATAATACTTAAAACTAGTTGTCTAAAACTAAAAAACAATGCGAAAAATTGGTATTATAATACTGACGAGTGATTCACAAAAATATAAGTGCAAAATTCTACTATGTACCTATTTACAGACTTTTTGCTAAATATTGTTCATAAATCCAAAAGAACTTGATTCAATATTATTATGAGGAATTTATAGCCTTAAGGTACTTTTAAGTGAATCTTTTTAGAGAATTTTAAGTAGTTATTTCGGCGACAATTTTTCAAACAGCTCTTGTAAGGCGAGTGCTTTCGCTAACCTCCTTCTGAAGTCCTAGAACAAAACAAAAATTACATTGATAAAAATGTTCCCATTCAAAAATAAAATATTTTGGCGGTAGGGCGGCCCCTGGGAAATTTTAGTATGTCCCCCACTAAATTATTGCAACTTTTTTGCAGTGGGGTCAAAAATGCCTGGATCTACCTTAGTCCTAGATAGTTTCTGTCAGCGTAGGACCGGTTTTGGTAATTTTCAAATGAAACCTTTAACCTATAGCCACGATAGCCCAACGGTGAAGTGGTCGGACTGGCCGACTCGAGATCCGAGGAACGCGGGTTCGAATCCCACCGCTGCGCGCTCGGCTGTTGTGGTGAGTACTAGTAACATAAGCTTATTTAGCTTAACACGAAGAGCTAACGGGACTAGTATTTACTAGAATTAGTAATTTGTGTAATACAAATTGTTACCTAATAATCTTTAAAAAAAAAACCTATGAACTTCTTAGAAATCTTCTGTTTAACCCGAAGGTTAACTGGTAAAAATGCCTTATAAAATTAACTGAGATGTCTATAAGTTTATAATATTCGATTTTCTGCCTTACCTGATGCAACATGTGTCCTCCATCGGGCACTCTGCTCGCAAACATGTCTTTGCTCATCAAACAGAGCGCCTTCCCGTTCATCGGGAACCGTTCCGGGAGACCACCGCGCCGGGACACCCAGCGGCCCACTTCTGCTCGGCCCCATGAGCGGGGATCTGGAAGAAAAGACATGGAACCGTTAATGAGGACTTAGGGAAATGTGGCTGGTAAACGCCGGAATTGCATGGAATGTTACTGTGCTAGTTTTGTCACTCAATAATTAACTAACCCCATCGCGCTGGCCACACAGGTTGGGGGCTTATTCCACTATTCCCCGTTGACAATCCCCGTCAACGGGGATTAGTGAACAAAAAGTTCATTAATCTCCGTTATAATAGGATTTTATTTTGATTTTATAAGGTCCAATTGGCGTTAACGGGGAATAGTGAACAAAAAGTTCACTAATCCCCGTTTGTCAATGGGGAATAGTGGAATAAGCCAGGTTGGGGAGGTTCACATAATTATTTTGTCCCTTTAGTCTGCCGCGGAAGTCTAAGGGTAAGTATGGCCAGATATTCGCGACACGGTGTTTCTATGACGAAGCAGCGTCCTCAGGGCGCCGGGAGTCTCACACACCACCCTGCCTCCAGGCAGGTTAATACGCGTATAATAATGAAAAAATAGTCAAATGATGTAGACTATGTATGTAGATAATATATTTACCTAAAGGTAGGTCATCTTCCTGCAACACCCGCAAGTCTAGCGCGTCCCATTTGCCCCCATCGGCGGGCGGCACGCGGTCACAGCGCGCTTGCGTTGGCATTGTGTAGGTCTGTAACAAAACCATCATTTGAAACCAACAATCAATAAAAATGTGTGTTTGATTTTATTATTGTCACAAAATCAATCGAAACAATCTTCTAACGACAAGGACAGCGCCATCTATTGTGTCTTTATCACATTAATAACATTAGGAAGTGTATTCATCCACATGGGATATCCGCCGCCATTGAGCGAACACAAAGCGCGGGAAACCGATCATTTGACGAAATCCGCCATTTTGTGTCCAACCGGAAACGGATGTGGGCCACGACGTCTATTACCACAGATTAATGGATATGGACGTTATGTAATTGATTTGGAATCACGTAAATACTTGCTGTATAATAGATGAATTTTGCAGATTTATAATAACAAACATTAACTGTATCCATCTCCTGTACCACATTTATAGCAAATAAATGATGATTCTGATTCTGATTCTGAAAACAACGTGACAGACAGTCTTGAGTTCGAATAACGGTTGGTTTAATTCAGAAATTAGTTCTACTTTATCGGAAACCTACAACAATACGTTACTAGCGGCCGCCCTCGACTTCGTACGCGTGGATCCCAGATCCCAGGAGTTTCGTAAAATCCGTTCTTAGTGAGCGCCTACGTTCTAAAAGGACCCCCATGCAAAATTTGAGACTCCTAGCACTTGTAGTTTAACTGAGATTTCGTGATGAGTGAGTCAGTCAATCAGTGACCTTTCGCTTTTATAGCTTAGATTTAATTTGTGTTTTAATTTAGGCTTGTATCGGAGGGGGTTTACCACTGAGGTCATCGGGGATCGAACCCGCGACCTCGCGCAAATCGACCTAATCGTTGAGCTCTTTGCTTCCCACAGGCGTCTGGGTTTTCTGAGATGCAGTATAGATGATGATGAATCTGAGTACAAAATCGGTTCGATTCTTACCTGAGTCAATTTAGAAATATTTTAAGTCTAAGTGTGATGCGAACATAGGTATTAATTTTTTCTCTCTCTCCTTGTTTCAGCCATATGACGTCCACTGCTGGACAAACGCTTCCCAAGGGTTTCCACAACGAGCGGTCCTCGCTGCCCGCATCCAGCCACTTTCCGCAACCTTCGCCAGACCCTCGTTTAGATTATTTTTATGTAAAGTTAACTTCGTTGTTATTGTGTAAACGCTTACTTACTCATTCAAGTGTAATTTAAAAAACCATCGCACCATTACATAATGCGTCCGCTTATAATTTCTTGTATAAAAACCTTTTTTACCACTTTTCCGCTCAGCAGTCACTGGCAACTGTTTATTTTTTTTCAGCGTCATCAAAAACTATGGTTCAGCCGGCCGGAAGCGCGCGCGCCTTCCCGGACGTACCATATTTGAAATCGACACTACCGGCCGGTTTGAAAAAGGAACTGGCGGTTTTTATTACTTTCGTGACGCGTGCGTAATGTGTTATACTTTTTTTGTAATGTGGGTGTTTACAAATTGAGTTTAAATGATTAGATTCTGATAAGATGCACTGGATATGAAGATCGATAGACGAAGATTATAATAGCTAGAGAATAAGTAAGTTTCCGTTTCAGGTGCTATTTGAAGCACATTGGNAAGCTATATTGGATAGACTATAGCGGCCGCCCGCGACTTCGTACGCGTGGATTCCAGTTTACTCCCTTAGCGGTGGAGTTTCGTAAAATTCGTTCTTAGTGAGCACCTACGTTCTAAAAGGAACCCCCATGCAAAATTTGAGACTCCTTGTAGTTTCTGAGATTTAGTGAGTCAGTCAATCAAGACCTTTCGCTTTTATAGATGTAGATTTAATTTGTGTTTTAATTTAGGCTTTTATCAGAGGGGGTTCATCATAAGGGGGGTTCAGCGGTCATCGGGATCGAACCCGCGACCTCGCGTAATTCGACCTTAATCGTTGAGCTCTCTCTGCTTCCCAGGCGTCTGGGTTTGCTGAGATTCAGTATAGATGATGAATCGCAGTGCAAAATCGGTTCGATTCTTACCTGAGTCAATTTAGAACATATTTTAAGTCTAAAAGTGTGATGCGAACATAGGTTTATGTATTTCTCTCTCTCCTTGTTTCAGCCATATGACGTCCACAGCTGGACAAACGCTTCCCAAGGGTTTCCACAACGAGCGGTCATCGCTGCCCGCATCCACCTACTTCCCGCGACCTTCACCAGACCTTCGTATAGATTTTTAATGCAAAGTTCATTTCGTAGTTATTGTGTAAACGCTTATTCATTCAATAATTTAAAAAACCATCGCGCCAATAATGAGTCCGCTTATAATTTCTTGTATAAAAACCTTTTTTACCACTTTTCCGCTCAGCAGTCACTGGCAACTGTTTATTTTTTTTCAGCGTCATCAAAAACTATGGTTCAGCCGGCCGGAAGCGCGCGCGCCTTCCCGGACGTACCATATTTGAAATCGACACTACCGGCCGATTTGAAAAAGGAACTGGCGGTTTTTATTACTTTCGTGACGCGTGCGTAATGTGTTATACTTTTTTTGTAATGTGGGTGTTTACAAATTGAGTTCAGATGATTAGATAAGATACACTGGATATGAAGATCGACAGACCAACAATAAAAAAGCTAGAGAATAAGTAAGTTTCCTAATTAGTTTTTGGGGCCCGTATTTGGTACACTACCAAAAGTGAACTTGTAGTTTTTACCCGACTGCGCCAGAAGGAAGGTTATGTTTATTTTCACTTACTTTAACACCGTGTTGGGCGCCCAAGTATTTAGCTTCTAACTCGTGTGTGCTCGTGTCACGGTGTTTATAATAAAACTCTCCCTAAGTTATAGTTGCTAATCGTTTAATTGTGACACAAAACTTACGCCTACGCCTATGTATTTAGATTTTGTCAATTACTCAACTCACGAAATAGCCGCCAAGGACCAAGCCTTAAATTAGGCTTTTTGTCTATGGTTTTAGAGATTCACGTAGAAAGCAATGTTATGATGAGTGTTGAGAGCTTTGAGCTGTCCCTAATCTGTTTATAATAGAGTGTAAGCAATAATGTTCGTCTTGTCGTTTTTACCCTAAAAATGTTCGTGGGATTCCTTATTTCCAAATAAATAACTTTTATCCTATTTTTGACTCGTTACAAAACACCAAGTCAAGTGGTTGCAGTCTCCACAGACTCTTGCACGCAACAGTTTCCCGCCATTGTCTGCGCCATGTTGGTACCGGAAGTGCGGAGCGCGGGAAAGGAGCTGCCAAACGTTAGATAGGGATGGGGTGAGATTCGATTGTTGTTGTCGATTTTAGAGTCAAATTTTTGATTTGTTCTTAATAAAATTGAATTCTTGAAAGTGCAGCAGCATTATAAATGTAATTATGATTAACTTCCAATCAGTAAAGCAATTTAGATTCTACCTTCCATGTTTCCATGCATTGCAGAAAATTAGTAATTTTGGCGACTTGGAGTTGACATCTACAATAACTTTTTGATATTGAGCTGTGACTATGAGGTCTCACAGTGCCAATGCCACATGAACCAATCACAGAACTCTAGTCAACACTGTGCGTTCGATTTTCTGCTTCACTTAAGCAAGCATCGTTTGTGAATAGATACGGGCGTTAATGTCGTTGAGCTATCAACTCAAATAGCAAATCCGCAAGATATTTGCATAACAATTAGAATTTAGATACATTTACCTACAACGTCACTTAGTCTTGACGCTGAATTACCAACACATTTTTCAATTTGCAGGTTTAGTACCGTCGAACCACATCGGATTAAGAGAACTCTGTCTTCCATTAGTACTAGACCATAAATTAAACACGTAACGAGTAGCTAGTATTTATTCTGTGGTGGAAGTAAGATTTTTGTCGACATCGATGTTATCCCAGCCCTAGGCGGCAACAACAATGGGGCGATTACCGCAAATCGTGAGATGGTGAGACGAACTTTCCTTTTGTTTTTGTCGGGCTTAGGAAGTCGGCAATTGGAGAGATGGGAATGAAAGTCGTGTTTTGTTGTCCGCTGCGGGTTTTTAGCATCCCGCTGCTAAACGAGGTTAAATTATTGTCACAGAATAGCTAAGTAATTCTAGCGGTATTGCTATGCTTTATTTGCTATGGTGTTACTTTCTTTTACTCCCTTGTGAATAACGGTGCGAATTTTACCATAAACTTTTCTTAGTTAAAGAAATATTCTCATAGATTCTGTTCTATGAGTGGTCAAAATATTTTAGATCAATCTTTCCTTGAAATTTTATTACGGATCTAAATGACGCGGACGTTCACGAGAAATCGGAGATGAAATTAAAAGCGTAGATATTAAGGTTGATTGATTGAAGCTTGTGTAACTAATTAATTAATTGAAAACCCGTTGCAATCAACCGATCTATACGTAACGCTTTCGATTTCCTTTCGCTAAAATTTCATTTAGTCATGACTAACTGTTCAACGAGCGTGTAAGTTTTATTAGTAAGGAGTATGTCTTTATTATGAAACAATACTCAAGTATGAATCTTTGCTCAATAAATTTTTTTAAGCTCAAATTCGAATTGAGCAACATGGAGCAATAAAGAACGAGAATTTGAATGACTTCAAATGTACTTCAGATTTTTATGCTCTGTCACATTATAATATGTCAATGTTATCCCTCCCGTGCCGCTCCCATACCTCAGATACGAAACAGAACATGACCTTTAGAACCATGGTTCTAAAGGTTCGTTTTACAGAACTGTGAGGTATTCTTTCGATAGTTGGATTAGTCTAAATCGATTATACGACTACGATTGGGTCACTTATTGGGTACCTTAGTTGGTTATTCAGCAGTAGTAAGTAGGTAGTATCTATCCGATCGCTTTCAGTTAGATACAAATTGCATAATTCCATTGCTGCGTGATAGAAATCGTTTTAATTCTATGATTCCATTATTGATAGGTAGGTAGGTATGTCATTTTGAGATCCCTTATTAAATGCATCAGTAGATCCTTATGCTTTTTACCTCTCAGCAGCAGACTATAATTTGGAACACAAATTGTATCTAAATTCGGTTACTTTAAAAGTTTAAATCATCATCCCCATCACCATTAGGGCATTTAATTTTACTCTGTAGCTTTTAAATGTGTTCTCCGTTTTCTAAATATTGAGGGTCGAGCGCGAGCTCTTGACGCTCTTGTTGGATTCAAATCCGAATTTTCAGCTAAGCGCACAGGCGCTTCATACCTAATTAATTTAGACGGGAACCCCTGCCGTGTTCAGCTAACCGGATATTTTTTAAATTTTCACCTTCACATCATTTAAAAAATTCAGACAACATTAACTGTAAAAACATTGACACATAATTCCTTATAAAATTGACTCAGTACCTTCAGAAATCCATTTTTGGTCATAACAGAAATAAATCGCTTCCTGCTGATAGATTTTTGAATAATTTTCTCAAAAGATAAAATCACAATAAAATAAAATTACGCGGGTAAAATTAATCCTTACCATAAATAATAAACAAGCGAAGAAAATCCGGGTTTTTCTTGTTCTTCAATTCCACACACAAACCACAAGAGTTCAATAAACACACAAAATAATCACTGATTAAACTTTAAAATATCGATATCGGTAAAAACGTAGTCAAAACAGCACGTGCGCTCTCGACGGTGAGCGAACGACGAATGAAAGAATTTTCGATTCTATTCCGAACTTGAATGAATGCAGATGTCTTCCTTTACAACTCATTTAAAAAGTAACTCAATTGACTTTTCAGCACACTGCAACTTCAACTGTATTAGTAAGAGAAACAAAGTCCAAAGTTGCTTGAGTTTGTAATCGGAGTTATGTTGTTGTTCAACCTCAAAAGGATTTGCAAGCATGCGCCGTCTGTGGCCGGATGCGGGCTGTAACGACTATCCCTTTCGCTCATATGTGTTTACCACAAGTGTGAGTAGGACGGAGAATTGTTTTTGAATCGATAATGTATTCTCGCATCCTGCCTGTCAACGTGCGGTTTGAAACTAATCGTTTCCGTATCAAATTTGAACTTTTGAATGACGTATGTTCGTTTTTTGCGAGTTGAAATTGTGTTCTACGTGCGTGTTACAAGGTTTATTTTTCTTTAGCTGTTCTGAGAAAGATTTTACAGAATTAATTAGTGTGTATGTTTCCGCCGGAGTCTCAATTTCCCGCGCAAATGTATTTTCGTGATGGCGTCACGTCGAGCCATGTTTTCGGGACCTTTTTTGCTGTAGGTCGTTAATTTTAAAATAGACGTCAATTAATCTGATTTATCTCTTGTAGATACAGTTTATGGGCTGATTAGGTCGTTTTGTAATAGTTTTTTTTCACACCACACGGCTTTAGAGAAGATTTTTTATTGGATGTGGGATGTAGGTCATGCAATTTATTTGAAATAGGTAGCCTATTTTTTTATACCCTATCATGAAAGTGATAAACTTTAAATACAGGATTCTTAGAAAAATAAATTAGTAGGTACACTTATGATGAGTGGTACTACTATAAATATAATGTTAACAATATTTGCATGCCAGCTTCTGGTGGACTGTGCGGACTTTTTAATATTGTAAGAACTTGTAGACCACTTTTCACGCAAATAAACTGATTTGATTTGATTTGATTTGATTTGATTACTTACCGATCCATAGGTACTTAGTCAGATGTGCTACTTCCTCCTGAACATAGCCTCACATTTTTTTGGAACACAAGAAACTTATGATTATCTGAGACCTTAGATTAATAAAGCTTTATTAATCTAAGTCTGAGACATTGAATTCGTGACCCTAATTTTTACAATCGACACAGAAAATGGAAAAGTGAAACCTTGGAAAGCACTGTATCCTATCAGTTGTGTTTTTAAAATTAGGAAGAATTGTATTGATACAAACTAACAATGTTTTTAATTACCTTTACACCTACCCGTAGACAGTGGCCATTCAACATCCAAAGAGTCCCGATCCCGAAGGAAGCGACCTCCGTAGGAAGTTATAAAAACACTTTTAAAAACCTTTCATTCGTGTTTACAACTGACTTCCGTTTCCGGGCGGATGGAATTGGTTTTATTTAAATTGTGAAGGTCCACCCCAGAGGTCCATTTATTGTTTGTTATACAATAGATCTTGGGACCGACATTTATGTTCCTTTATTAATATTTTCTGTCAACTCTTTAGGATTTGACGATTCATTTAAGAATTGTTTTCTCAATAGTAAGTCGCGCCTTCGTTTTTGTTTCTTGGGTTGTAAGGTGTCAGACATAAGCCTCCAAGCCGCAATAAGCGTCTGATTTGAGATTAAGGGACAAACTTAACGTAAATAGCTACCTACCCGCCGCTCTAACTTAGGGAATCAATTTATTTTCCAGCGATCATCGATTTTAAAACTAAATACAGAAGTTCTTGTGTTCTACGTAATATAATTTATTTCTTACAATAAACTAGTAGTTACATATTTAAAAGTATGTAAATAGTGTTTAATACGTCACATAATCCGCGATTTATACCGTACTTCCGGTACCATAAAAAAATAATTAGCGAGACTTACCAACCTATGCACACGCGTGCACCAAAAAAAGTTTGAAAAAAAAAAAAAACAATTGTCAAACGAGAAAAGGCGGGAAGACGGCAACAGACAAAAAATAGAATAATGGATGCCCTATTGGATCTTATTTTCGGCTGACGTTTGCGTAAAGCCGGATCTGTCGTAAACAGCTTATTTTGGGGTGAAAAATAGAAATTAGCTACATCCGTTTTAAGGCGGCTGTCAAAATGTGATACGTTTTGGCATTGGCAAAAAATGCAGGGGATGAGAACANCCATGTTAACATGGTCATATAAATGGTATGGTGAAGTCAGAAAATTGATATCTTCATTTTAATTATTTTATTTTTCATACAAATCGTATTTTATAAAATTTATTTTGTATGAAAATTAAAAAAAATAAAATGATGATATCAAATTTCTGACTTCACCATACCATTTATATGCCCATGTTAACATATTATGGGCTAGTGTCGGCTCATATACCCATTTACCTAACACCCTGTATAATAAAAACTGGTTAATATTATGTATTATTCGTATTTCTTATTCGTGTCCCGGTATCTCTGTTGTATTTCGTTGATTATTTCGTTCTTAACGGTTTTGAAACGATCCAAAAAACTGTCCACTTCACGCTTCGTCTCTCTCGCTAAGATACCTGAAAACAATTCGTTTCGTTTGCTCAAATCTTTAATGAAATGTAGTTACTTTGTTTAAAACATCATTGCAATAATGTAGAACATTTTGAAAGATTTCGTGATAGCTTCGTAACGTCCTTTAGATTGATTAAATAATGCAATAAAATGAAGAAGCCAAAGCTCAGAAATTCTATTTTGTGATGGCTTCATGTACAAAACTGACATTTTCAGACACATAACGAAGCGACAACAATCAATCACAATTTCTTTGTCTACCCACACAATCCCCACCCCCTTAAGCAGAGTTGCACCATCACAGACTACACAAGGGTCTGTGTGTGCACCATCTTGTCAAGCTCCATACAAAAAGCNTTTGGGGTGAAAAATAGAAATTAGCTACATCCGTTTTAAGGCGGCTGTCAAAATGTGATACGTTTTGGCATTGGCAAAAAATGCAGGGGATGAGAACACTTTTCTGGTGAAATAACAGATTTTTAGATAGCACTTCTTATCTGGGTTTTTGTGATCATCTTTACATCTGATGTAAAAATTTATTTAACACTTAATTAATTTTCGATTAAGTGTAAGTAATTAATTGATCAATACAAGTAGCAAACTTTTATTTTCTTATAAATTAATTCTACCAAAAAGAAAGTCTGTGAAAGTGTCTAAGGGCTGACTTTTCAATCGTCAGATTTCTTTTAACTGAAGAATAACTTGTCATTTTGACATATTTCCCATACTAAAACTGTCAAACTTTTTCTTCAGTTTCTTCTGTGTGCCAAACTTATTCTTCAGTTATAAGTTATCCAATGATTGATAAATCAGCCCTAAATCAAATTTTATTTCATGAATTTGAAAATTTTCGTGTAATTTATTTTTCACAAATAATAAACCAGTATGTCAATTGATTATAGCCGCCGACTACCAAAGATTACCAACCCCTGCCTTTTTTTTTCAATCCAAATCTTACGGCATGCACCGCCTTCCGGCGACTGCACGTGGCGACATAATCTGTATAATCTACCGGCTCTGCTTTTTGTATTCCTTTGCCTAAAATGTCGGTCAAGTGCGAGTTGTGCCCGCATGGCATGGTTCGGTGTATTTTGGTCAGATTTTCTTACCTTTTCTTGTAATTAAAACAGTTTTCAAACCTTTATTTTAAATTGAAATTATTTCATCTTGGTGAATTAAACATTTCAACAGTTACTTGATTTTAAAATAAACTGATTTTGATAAAATTGAAACGTAACCAATCCGGGATCATCCTTTGAAACACATTTTTTTATTGTCAACAGCAACATTATCATCATTTCAGTCACAGTCACAGGACGTCCACTGCTGTACATACTAGGCCTCCCCCAATGATTTCCACATAACCCGTTTGGTAGCGGCCAGCATCCAGCGCCTTCCTGCTCTCCTCTATGAGGAGAGCAGTACTACTACGTTTTCCTGTACGTGACCTCCACCCCACACTGTCATACTGACAGAGTGCTCCGAACAAAAAAATACAAAGCCTCTCCCTTTTTAGCATTCCAGAGATAAAGAAAAGAAAAGTTTATTTTCTTAGTTAAGTAAACGGTTCAATTAATATGCAAAGGATGTATTTACCCACGGGACCCTAAACTTGCAGTCCAGGTCCTAACAAGATACTTCGGGCTCTGTCACTAGTCATTAGTTAAAGGCCCAGACGGCGCGAGATGGCTCGGTGGTCGCCTGAGGCGAGCGTTCCCGGTTCGATTTCCAGTCGGGTCAGGAACTTTTAGGGGGAAATTACGATACAAACTCTCTAAATTTAAAATTAACAAGTTTTAAGAACATCTTTAGCTAGCAAACTGTCGTGAACTTACCTAATGCCGTTCGTTCGTTTCAGCCGAAAGACGTCCACTGCTGGACAAAGGCCTCCCCCAAGGATTTCCACAAAGACCATCCTGCGCCGCCCGCATCCAGGCACCTTCCGCGACTTTAACCAGATCGTCGGTCTACCTAGTGGGAGGCCTGCCCACGCTACGTCTTCCGGCTCGTGGTCGCCAAATGCCGATTAAAATTGAAATCGATCATATTTTATTTTGTCTGTCCGATTTAATCTAGAACGAGAGCTGTGAATCCATCCCCATCACTTAGATGGTTGGCAGTCCATTACTACAGTACGTTTCTCTAGAAACTTCCTGCCCCGTACAACCAACAAAACTGTGGAATGGACTGTCGTCTGCGGTGTTTCCGGACGGATACGACCTGTAAGCTTTCAAGAAGAGAGCGTATCTTCACCTTAAAGGCCGGCAACGCACCTGTAACGCCCCTGGGTCTGCGGGTGTCTATGGGCGACGGTAATCACTTACCATTAGGTGATCCGTCTGCTCGTTTGCCTCCTGTCCTTGTCACATAAAAAAAAAGAAACTAGAAGTACTTGGCGGTATAACAGACATAATAGTGGTGTCTACTAGGCTATCAGAGACTTTATCAAGAAGACATAGATAGTATCACAGATAGTATGTAATAAAGCATGGTATTCTTGAATTTGCCCATAGAGCTGTCCAGTTTTTTCATACATCCTTTTTCGTTATTGTCATAGTCGCTCTGCTGATTTAGGGTGTTTGTGTTTTGGTCAGACGTGATATTAGGGTGCATTCCTTCACGTTTACTGGAAAAATATAAAAAAATCTACGTGACTGGGACACGTTGGGAATCTGGGAGAATATCTCTCGGTCATTCACGAGGACCTTTATCATTGAAATCGAAAGCCATTTTTTACAGAGTAGTCGCTGGGTAAGCCTAAGGATCGTAGGTTCGATTCCCACCTTAAGCAATTCGATATTTCCAAATTACTAAAAATGTAGTTAGAGTTACGACTGTTATCGCTAAAGGCCATTATTTCTCTACTGTTTTATAACCCCGTGTCCGTTTATTGGGTTTGGTTCATTTCACTGGAAAGTAATTTTCCGGAAAATTCATTTTCTCATTGCTATTTGCTATAAACACCATAATTATTATCAAAAGGGAACTAAAATCATAAAATTAATAAAATACACTGGCAAACATTAACAACTGCCGCTGTCCGTTTCCAGCGTTCGTCACTTCCTAATAACAATAAAAAGGATATCCAGGATGTGTCCAGGAGAAAGCTTCCGTCCTTCATTTGTGTGGTCGAGACTTTAATGCCGGCTACACTTTGCATCAAATCAAATAATTTATTTACTTAAGTATAGACCCGGCACAATAAGATGGTACCATTTTAGAATTGCCTGCGGTTTCGCTTGCATGAATAGGGTAGTTGACACACTAGTCAATTGACATACTTTTTATAAGCTGACAAATTATGACTCCCAAGAGTTTGTGCGGATGTGACGTCACATTTTGCAAATTCAATTGACTAACCATTGATTGCTAAAATCTATTTTTTTGTCACTTTTCTTTTTTAATAGCTTACAGACCACAGAGCACGTAATAATAAGGTGGACCTGCGAATACAAAAAATCTGGAAGAGATACCTATCAAATGTGTTGTTTTGATGACGCTTGCGTATCTTACCCTGTTACCCTAGATAGGTACGCCAATGAGAATATGAGATTCTGTGCCAGTCTAACATCGACTTGCTGCTGTATATGTTACGGTTAATGTGATAAATTGAAAATTATTAATAATAACCGGTTATTATGAATAATTACCGACAGTCGCGGTAAAAGTGATAAATTAATCACATTTAACAGTGATTATTTAATAATTCAACCTTAGTACTATAGNCTGACATGCAAGGTGACATGTCAATGAAGTTTTCAGTTACTGTTGCCATTAAAAGAAATTAGTACCATTAGTTTTCCGCAACATGGCGAGGGTTTTTATGTTCCTGGTCAGGCTATAGGTAGGTATATTGAAATATTGGGAAGTGTAGAAGAAATAAAGGGTGTCCAGTGGGAATTTTTCAACTTCAAAAATGATTCATACAAATAAATTAATGATTTTTTATTATTTATTACTAATGCAAACTGGAGTTTAACAATGCGGATTTATTTTTTTATAGGCAATGTCTTTTAAATGATGCCCGTTTTACTATGCACTCTCACAGCCAGACCCTTACATTCGCAACTGNTTTGGGGTGAAAAATAGAAATTAGCTACATCCGTTTTAAGGCGGCTGTCAAAATGTGATACGTTTTGGCATTGGCAAAAAATGCAGGGGATGAGAACATTTTTATGGTGAAATAACTGAATTTTTAGTTAGCACTTCTTAACTGGGTTTTTGTGCTCATCTTTAATTCTTATGTAAAAATGTATTTAACACATAATTAATTTTCGATTAAGTGTAATTAATTGATCAATACAAGTAGCAAACTTCTATTTTCTTCTAAATTAATTCTACCAAAAAGAAAGTCTGTGAAAGTGTCTAAGGGCTGATTTTTCAATCGTCAGATTTCTTTTAACTGAAGAATAACTTGTCATTTTGACATATTTCCCATACTAAAACTGTCAATGTGCCAAACTTATTCTTCAGTTAAAAGTTATCCAATGATTGATAAATCAGCCCTAAATCAAATTTTATTTTATGAATTTGAAAATTTTCGTGTAATTTATTTTTCACAAACAATAAACCAGTGTGTCAATTGATTTATTGCCGCCCAGTCCGCCCACTACCAAAGATTACCAACCCCTGCCTTTTTTTTCAATCCAAATCTTACGGCATGCACCGCCTTCCGGCGACTGCACGTGGCGACATAATCTCTATAATCTACCGGCTCTGCTTTTTGTATTCCTTTGCCTAAAATGTCGGTCAAGTGCGAGTTGTGCCCTCATGGCATGGTTCGGTGTGTTTTGATGAGTTTTTCCTATTTTTTCTTGAAATTAAAAAACAGCTTACAAAACTCTCATTTCATCTTGGTGAATGCAGCATTTATTACAACTAAATTAGGGTTAATAATTCAAGGCCAAGAGGGTGCTTCGCCTACTTCCTTCGGATAGATCGTCCAAGTACTTTCCAATTTCCAATGAAGAATCCGGTGAGAGGCACCGCAAACCATACGTAACGGGAGGTGATACCGAAGATGGCTATTTTACTTCTATTTCAGCGCCTTCCACTTCCACTTCCTATTGAATCGATTTTGATAAAATTTGATAATTCTTTGAAATAGATTTTTTAACTCGATGTCTTACTGACCGAGTGCTGCGGTCAAAAATATACAAACAAATTGAGATCACTAAAATGTGCGATGAGAGAATAGGTACCTACTCTTCCGTTTTTAGCATCCCAGAGATAAAAAGAAAGTTAAAATGGTTCAAACGTGAAAATGATATATTTACCTACGGGTCCCTAAAACCTTCAGTCCAGACATAACAAGATACTTCGAGCTCTGTCCCTAGTCATTAGTTAAAGCACGGTAATAATATCATAGTATTACCGTGGTTAAAGGTCCAGATGGCGCGAGATGGCTCGGTGATCGCCTGAAGCAAGCGTTCCCGGTTCGATTTCCAGTCGGGTCAGGAACTTTTAGGGATAATTTAGGATACAAACTCTCTAAATTTAAAATTAACAAGTTTTAAGAACATCTTTAGCTTGCTACTGTTTTGAACTTACCTAATGCCATTCGTTCGTTTCAGCTGAAAGAAATCCACTGCTGGACAAAGGCCTCCCCCAAGGATTTCCACAAAGACCGGTCCTGCGCCGCCCGCATCCAGGCACCTCCCGCGACTTTCACCAGATCGTTGGTCCACCTAGTGGGAGGCCTGCCCACGCTACGTCTTCCGGCTCGTGGTCGCCAAATGCCGATTAAAATTGAAATCGATCATATTTTATTTTGTCTGTCCGATTTAATCTAGAACGAGAGCTGTGAATCCATCCCCATCACTTAGATGGTTGGCAGTCCACAACAGTACGTTTCTCTAGAAACTTCCTGCCCCGTACAACCAAACTGTGGAATAGACTTGTCTGCGGTGTTTCCGGACGGATACGACCTGCAAGCTTTCAAGAGGAGAGCGTATCTTCACCTTAAAGGCCGGCAACGCACCTGTAACGCCCCTGGGTCTGCGGGTGTCTATGGGCGACGGTAATCACTTACCATTAGGTGATCCGTCTGCTCGTTTGCCTCCTGTCCTTGTCACATAAAAAAAAAAAAAACTAGATGTACTTGGTGGTGTAACAGACAATAGCGGTGTCCTCTAGGCTATCAGAGACTTTATCAAGAAGACATAGATAGTATCACAGATAGTATGTAATAAAGCATGGTATTCTTGAGCCATTTACCCATAGAGCTGTGTCCAGTTTTTTTATACATCCTCCTTCGTTATTGTCACAGTCGCTCTGCTGATTTAGGGTGTTTGTGTTTTGGTCAGACGTGATATTAGGGTGCATTCCTTCACGTTTACTGGAAAAATAAAAAAAAAATCTACGTGACTGGGACACGTTGGGAATCTGGGAGAATATCTCTCGGTCATTCACGAGGACCTTTATCATTGAAATCGAAAGCCATTTTTTACAGAGTAGTCGCTGGGTAAGCGTAAGGATCGTAGGTTCGATTCCCACCTTAAGCAATTTGATATTTCCAAATTACTAAAAATGTAGTTAGAGTTACGACTGTTAACGCTAAAGGCCATTATTTCTCTACTGTTTTATACCCCGTGTCCGTTTATTGGGTTTGGTTCATTTCACTGGAAAGTGGTTTTCCGGAAAATTCATTTTATCATTGCTATTTGCTATAAACACCATAATTATTATCAAAAGGGAACTAAAATCATAAAATTTATAAAATACATTGGCAAACATTAACAACTGCCGCTGTCCGTTTCCAGCGTTCGTCACTTCCTAATAACAATAAAAAGGATATCCAGGAGAAAGCTTCCGTCCTTCATTTGTGTGGTCGAGACTTTATCGCCAGCTACACTTCCTTTGCATCAAATCAAATAATTTACTTAAGTATAGACCCGGCACAATAAGATGGTTCCATTTGAGAATTGCCTGTGGTTTCCCTTGCATGAATATTGAATAGGGTAGTTGACACACTAGTCAATTGACATACTTTTTATAAGCTAACAAATTATGACTTTGTGCGGATGTGACGTCACATTTTGAAAATTCAATTGACTAACCATTGATTGCTAAAATCTATTTTTTGTCACTCTTCTTTTTTAATAGCTTACAGACCACAGAGCACGTAATAATAAGGTGGACCTGCGAATACAAAAAAATCTGGAAGAGATATGCCCCTAGACAAAACGCACTTTTTGATCGAATCGAAAATCGAATCCGTCAAAACTCCATACAAAAAAGGGGCTTTTCGACCACTTTTCGACTGGTTTGCGATTATAATTTGCTCTTTGTCTAGACCCAATGGTCAGCATTATCAAATGTGTGGTTTTGATGACGCTTGCGTATCTTACCCTAGATACGCCAATGAGAATATGAGATTCTGTGCCAATCTAACATCGACTTGCTGCTGTATTAATAAAAACTGGTTAATTATGTATTTCTTATTCGTCTCCCTGTATCTCTGTTGTATTTCGTCGATTATTCCGTTCTTAACGGTTTTGAAACGATCCAAAAAACTGTCCACTTCACGCTTCGTCTCTCTCGCTAAGATACCTGAGAACAATTAGTTTCGTTTGCTCAAATCTTTAATGAAATGTAGTCACTTTGTTTAAAACATCATTGCAATAATGTAGAACATTTTGAAAGATTTCGTGATAGCTTCGTAACGTCCTATAGATTGATAAATCTATACTAATATTATAAATGCGAAAGTAACTCTGTCTGTCTGTCTCAATTTTACGCCTAAACCACTGAACCGATTTTGATGAAATTTGGCAGGGAGGTAGTTTGAGTCCCGGGAAAGGATATAGAATAGTTTTTATCCCAGTTTTTGAAACAGGGACGCGTGCGATAAAGTTTTTCTGTGACAGACAAAATTCCGGGGCGGCGGGCGAAGCCGCGGGCGGAAAGCTAGTAATGCAATAAATTGAAAAAGCCAAAGCTCAGAAATTCTATTTTGTGATGGCTTCATGTACCTATAAAACTGACAGTTTCAGACAAATAACGAAGCGACAACGATATTGAATCAGTCGGTTTCTTTGTCTACAAACACAAATGATCAAATTCCCACCCCCCTTATGCGGAGTTGCACCATCTTACTTTAACAAACGTCAAAAGCCTATCAAATTCCATACAAAAAGCGTACCGGTTATTGTTACAGTTACGGTCAAAGTAAGTTGGTGCAACGCCTTAGTTTTACAGGGAAATCGAATCGCACTTAGCCTCTTGATTGGGCCACTCCAATCAAGAGCTCTCAAGGATCCCCTCAGTAAGCAAACAGCCTGTTCAAGCCGTTACAGGCTTCTCGTAGCGATGCTGGTGATTGGAAAAACTTTTAGTAACATTCGTGAATCTTGATCCTCATCGCTCGACTTTTATTACGTTAAACTACTTTCTGCCATGAAGTGATCGCGAAATAAAATCTTTCAAAAATGTCACTGTCCAAAATTTTATAGATCACTAGCTTTCTGCCTGCGGCTTCGCCCGCGTGGAATTTCGTTTGTTAAATTTTATTGAATTTTCTTTGCTATAAGCCCGAGACCTTTCCAACGAATGCAAAACCGTGGAAATATCGGTTCGTGCGTTCTGGAGTTATAGCGTCAGGAAGGAAAACCCGATATAGTAGATTTTATCCTCTTACTTTACTATGGGCCTTATAAGAAGGCTCAAGGTCACCCAAAGGGCGAAAAAGCATAATTTTAATGTTTCTAGCAAAACTTTTGTATCTTGCATCAAAGATAGGAAGGTGATTATTTTTTCAAATATCTGCAATTAATAACGAATCTATAAAAAAAAAGAAATCTGAGAAAAATCAACCCAAAATAAAAAAAAAAAATTGTAAACCCTACTAGGTCATAAAATTTTAAAATATCACAAAATTAACTCTATCTCCTAAACTAAGCAAAATCGTATTATACACATGGGGGTGATTTAGATACACCTTGATGTAAGGAATCTAAATTTTTCTTTTTGACCTCACTGTTTTGGCCACCGTGTATATTTACTATTTATGTATTCGTCATTAAAGTGAATAGCCCAGAAAAAGAAATCAGTTTTTTTTAAAGGCCTTAATATTATGGCTTTATGTAACTTTTTGGACTTTAAATAAAAGGCGTCATTATTATAAGCCATTTTATTGATGTTTACCTCTAAGATTAAAGTATTTCATTTCATTAATAGGAAATTGTTGTAGTTTTTTAATATCCGGTATCCGGCCGGATAGTGAGTTAATATCCGGTATCCGGCCGGATAGTGAGTTACTATCCGGTATCCGGCCGGATAGTGAGTTACTATCCGGTATCCGGCCGGATAGTGAGTTACTATCCGGTATCCGGCCGGATAGTAAATTTAGGCCGGATATCCGGCCTACCGGATAGTTGCCGGATATCCGTTTCATCTCTAGTCATTATTGTAGTGTGCGTGTGCACTCATAGATAATTTAGCGTGTACCCCGATAACACTCAAAAATTAGCGGAAGAATGGTGGGGCGCGTCTTCGTGGATGAAACGATCTATACAGGCACGCAACTGTTTTACAGCTTGCAAAATACTTAACTCACCAATAAACTGTATGAACTGAGTCATAGACAATTGCTCTCTATTCGGCGCTAACCTCTCATACGACACATCGAACAAATGCTCTGTTAGTATCAAGCCATCAATAATCTGGCACTCGTGGAACCATCTGGAAACTTCGTCGTACGATGCGCCATTCCCACCGCTGGCCCCTTTTAAAACCTGGTACATTTCTTCTAAGTCCATCTTTAGTACAAATTCTTGCCAATAGATGGGGCTATATTCAAATTGCACGCGAGTGCGATTTTCTATTAGTAGAAAATACTTACTTGATAGAAGTAATTTTGTTGCTATTAATATTTTTAGTAAAAGAAAATGCACATGTAAATAAGTAGGTAATGTAAAATCAAGTAGGCTGTGCCTGTAATAAATAGTTTTGGTGGGTATTTTTTAATACGAGCCAAATTGTTGGGTTTAATATAATTTATTTTAAGTAGAATATAAAGCATAGTATTTTACCATTCATACAAATCATTCAACAATTTGTTTGAAACTATCATTATTGTTTCTGAAGTTTTAACTGCACTCTGATGGTGTGAAATGGAGGGTATCTGTAAAAAGAAACGGCATTTTTAGGAATTGATATGTATAAAATGCAATTCAAACTGAAAAAGAACACTGCGATATTTTAACAGAATAATGTACAAATATTATATTCAAAAGTTGGAATTAGTTGTTGTGGATTTTTAGATGTTGATATGCTATCGGTCATGTACTAACCCTGGCTATTATGTACATTCCGAACAAATATAGAAGCCTATGTTTATGAGAAGACTTCTAATGACTAACAGCATTTAAGGTCAATACCTTAGTCTGTTTAAATACAAATTAGAAAGGTATAGGACCAGTGTTATTCAATCTGTGGGTCGCGACACCCTGGGGGGTCGTAAAAACTGCCTTAGTAAAAAAACAAAAGTTTTAAAGATAGATTTATCCGAAATCTAATTATGCAAATGCATAAAATGTTGTATGGATTCTTTGTAAAATGCGCAAAATATTTTTTTCATACTAGGGGTCGTGTCATAAAAAATGTTTAAAAACATTGGTATAAAAGACAATCTGGGTAGCGTAAAGCTTGGCTCAAAATTCAATTACAATGGCGACAACTTATAAAATTAATCCCAACTAATATTATAAATGCGAAAGTAACTCTGTCTGTCTGTCTGTTACGCTTTCCCGCTTAAACTTCGCAACCGATTTTGATGAAATTTGGCATAGAGATAGTTTGAGTCCCGGGAAAGAACATAGGATAGTTTTTATCCCGGTTTTTGAAACAGGGACGCGCGCGATAAAGTTTTTCTGTGACAGACAAAATTCCACGCGGGCGAAGCCGCGGGCGGAAAGCTATATAAACTAAAGTAAACTAAGTAACAAAAATTAAAAAAAAAAAAAAGAGTTTTACCACGTTCCACCACCTGTTCCACTACCACTTCGGGAAAAATTTCAGTGTTTACCTCTAAAGAGTGAGGAAGTCTGGCGCGTTGTGGTGCAACAGCTCGGCGGCGCCGGCCACGGCCGCGCACCACGCGTCCAGTCGCGCCGCCAGCAACGCCGCGCCCGCGCGGGGCAGAGCCCTAGGCCGCACCCAGCGGATGCTCACTGTCTCGCTGACCTGCGACACAAAAAACAAGGTATAGATGACCCACACTGCACCGGAGATGAAAGGACTCGAGTCTTCCGAGTCCTTTGGGACCGGACTCGATTTTCATGACTCGACTCCAAAAATACAACTCGAGACTCTTCGCTGAGCCGAGGGAACTCTGATGATTATAATGAGACTCGAAAATAAAACGACTCGAGTTATTTATTGAAAGACTCACGACTGAGTTGTGAATCTTTTGATAAAGAACTCGAGTCGTTTGGCACACGACGAGCTCTATAAAATGAAAATAATAAAACTTATAAATAATACTCCAATCAAATGGTTCTATCCTGCTTTACATTACATATACGAAAATATGTGGGCAATACATAACTTTAGCTGTAGCAGTCTAAAAGTGAACTGAAATATTAGAGACTCACGACTCCAACAAGTCGTGTCGTTTTAAAATGTTTGAGTCTTTTCGTCACGACTGAAATTTGGAATCTTTTTAAATTAACTAAGTCTAAAAATAAAACAAATCATAATCGAAGAGTCCTAAAAAGCTCAAGACTTAAAGACTCAATAGAGTTGTGAAGTCTCATAAGTCGTCCAAACGAGTCGAGTTTCTTTTAAAACACTCGAATTCTTTCATCACTACGCTGAACTGTCCCACCAAACTCAATGACAGGAGGGTCAATGGATAGGACAGTTCAGTATATTGGAACTAGGCTTTTGTAATACTTGTGAAAGGACGCCATGATTAAGTTTAGTGTGTAACAGGGATGTTATGGGTATCCGTAACCGTAACCGAAACTTTAGGATAGGTATTCGAAATAAAAAATTATCCGTAACCGGTATAATCTTATTCCTATATCCGTAACCGTATCCATAACCGAAACTACATTATCCATAACATCCCTAGTGTGTAAGTATATTAAATTAGAAATGTGAAATGTAATAATTAAATGTATTGAAGATCGAGCAGGTTCCTCTTAATACAGGTTTTACAATTAGACAGGATTTCCCAAGAAATGTGAAATGTAATTTGGTTCCAATAAATATATTTTTCAATTTTTAATCCATGTAAGCAATGAATGTCTTAATATCCTTAGCTGGTAGATGTGTCCCCTGTTTAATCTTTCAGCTACCAGATCCCCTCTTATCCATCCTAAACCCGACAACGGGCGAGGTTGCATAACCACCATCATGTAAGAAATGTTCTTGTCATCCCTGATCATTTTAGCTCGACTTTTTACTCATCCTTAACCTGATCTTTCCTTTTCCTTCCCTTCATCGTTTCCTTAGAACTCCAGGCCATACCCTAGATAAGTACACAACGCTCATTCCAGCACTTCTCCCATTCACATACACACTTACACATATACACACACAGGTCAGGTTTTAGTCGGTCACGTCGAGAGCGGAGAGTCCTGGTGTTCTGTAATACAGGCTCGCAACCTAGCTCAGACACCAGTCTCCCGCAATCTAAGTGTCTGTCCACTACATTTAATTGTAATTTAAGATAATCACCTTACATTGTAAACCTTTAGATTTAGATTGTGGAGAAAATAAAGAATTTATTTAATTATTATTATTATTTATTTACCCTGGAAGTACCCTTACCTGGTCGATGTGTCCCTTGATCAGCCCCTCGGCCAGTGCCTTCATGACCAGCAGTTCGACGTCGTCATGCGGCACGCGGGCTTCACGCGCGATCTCGCTGAAGGTCAGCCTGCGCTGCGCTGACGTGCGGTTGAACGCCATCTGGGAACAACAATGATTTAATAAATAAGGTATAGAAAAAACTAAGGTATAGTCTATGCCATAGACTCTATGGATACGTCCCATAAAATTCAGGCCACAATCTACTACGTGTAGTACAGATTGGTGGAGAAGGGGAAAGGTAATTAGTGACCACTGTTGGCGGAAATTAGTGACCGCTGTTCAGACTTGACAGAATATAGCTTCTCCTAAAGCTGCCACCAGTTCTTATAATGATCTTTTTGTTTAACTACCAGCTGGTCCTCTATAAGGCACAGCAAGTCTTCTGACCTTTCGATTCGAGCGACTATGTAACACCGTTACATTACAGTCGTTTGCTTCACCCCACACTTGCTGTTGTGATTGTTTTAACGCTATCACCCAACGGTCACTCGGGGCACTCGGCAAATTGACAGAGAAAAGTCGTCTGTGTTCCTACCTCCATAAGGCACAGGATGGCCAGTTTCCGCTGCAGCGTGTGGTCAGCTCTATGTACCATAGAGGGACTCACAGAAAGAAGAGAACTGCCCTCTGTGGTGTGTGCTCTCTAGACACTAAGGCACATTCATATGGCCAGCTTTTCCTAAGTCTGTCACACCTCAAGTCTTACTGACCACCAGCAGGGAAGAGTCTTCCTATAGCACAGTAAGTAAGTCTTCCGAACTTACCACGCGCGCTGTTGTGTTTGTCTTAACGCTATCACCCAACGGTCGCGCATTGAATTAGGCACTTTTCAGGATGACTGTCACATTTGTCATCTCCACCTACGTTTGTTGTTGTGATTGTCTTAACGCTATCACCTAACGGTCGCGTATTGAATTCGGAACTCTGCCAGACAAAAGTTGTCCCTATTGTTACCTCTCTCCCAAGCCAAACTCGTCTCTATCCCTACCTCCATAAGGCACAGGATGGCCAGTTTCCTCTGCAGCGTGTGGTCGGCTCGCCTCAGGTCGGGGTGGTTGGCGCGCGCCGCGACAGCGGTGAAGGCCTGGATGTCGCCGCGGGAACACGTGCGGACCAGTTCTATGGCCCACGCGTCGGAGGTCCCTTCGAGGGATTCCAGGATCGGGTGCGCTAGCTGAAGGAGAAATAGGTGGTGTTATTGGATAATTATATGATTTATTTGAGATAAGAAAATAAAATTTTACATTTAAAAAATACATCTTTTGGCACTTCTGATCATCTTTAAAAGCTNCAGTTCTATGGCCCACGCGTCGGAGGTCCCTTCGAGGGATTCCAGGATCGGGTGCGCTAGCTGAAGGAGAAATAGGTGGTGTTATTGGATAATTATATGATTTATTTGAGATAAGAAAATAAAATTTTACATTTAAAAAATACATCTTTTGGCACTTCTGATCCCATCTTTAAAAGCTTGAAACAGGAAACTATGGTGAAACCAGGGTTCGAAAATATCCGATATTTATTATAAATATCAAAATATCGGATATTTATGATATATATCCGATATATATCAACTTTGATATATATCAATTTTGTATGAAAGCCATAGTATTATTTTATTGTATTATTCATGAATACTATTGCATATGTGTTACATAAACATGTTTTTAATGTTTTTAAAACTTAAAATCAGACAAATAAAGCAAAAACATAAAATATCTTTGAAATACGGCAAAATCAACTAAAAAAATAAAAATCTTATGTCAAAAAGTACAAATACAGTAACAAATTTTAAAAATTGATATATATCATCAAAACCGGCTTGATATATATCCCTTGATATATATCCTCGAACCCTGGGTGAAACCAAAGGTAATGGCAACTAGGGCATGCAAAAACCGAGCGGTTTGGAAAAATCGGTTTTTTTATTTTAAAAAACCGAACTAAACCGGTTTTTTCGGGTTTTTCGGGTCGACTGTTTGTAAGTA